TTTTTTTTTCTGGTTTTGACGGCTTTATCAACATTATCGAGTTGCATAGAATTATGAGAAGAAACAAATGCCTGAAGCACGTTGTTATAAAAAACTTTGTAGTAGGACTCTTTAATAATATGCTACTTATTTTTAGGAAGGTATATTCGGATGACGTATCTTCTTCGTTCTGTAGCCGAACAAGCAATGTTTGCTATATTCCAGCTTTTCAGCTACTTTCTGTATACGGTAAAGTAGTTACAAAATTCGGTACTGTTAGTTTTATGCAAAAAAGTTAGCTTTTTAGTATAACTTTATGTAGTGTCTATTGTACCTTTTCACAACTTCATTATTTTTCTTTCCAGATGCACACATTTTTCGCGGCAGAAGAAACTTCAGGGGATTTCCAGTTTTGCTCTCAGAATCTCATCATGACTCTTAAATACGCAAAAGAAAATGTGATATGTGATGGAGATGCAGAATTTGATGATAATGTATATACTGGATGAATTTGGGGGCTTTTCTGCTTGCATTTGGGTTTATATGTTCCGAAATAAGTAGTTTTTGAATTAACAATAAATTTATTATTGAGTATTTTATTGAAAATTTTTGCGGTAGGATAATGTTTTTAGGTTTGCCGCATCTTACCGTGCTGTTTTCCATCAGTGGTGCAACTGCACGAATCTCAGCAATTATATGCACTTTCTGAGCGCATTGTTGGAGCTGAATCTCTGTATGTCTAAAAATTCCTCATTGTCATTTTTACCTCAATTATTTCATTGTTTTTTAATCTTTATTTGCCCTATTTGGTTTACTTCTCGTTTCCGTTTTGCTTTTTAGAGGGGAAGTAGAAAGGAAGGCTTAACGAGACGGTGTGTGGTACTGAAGGCTTCGTATTAGCCTCTGAGTATTAATGTCTTATTAAATATTATTTTTAGAATAACCACTTCATTTGGAAATATCAGTGAGTATCTGTGAGGTTGTGACATAATTCAGCTTAATAAATTACAGAGTGTTTTTGGCAAAACAACTAAATGTTCTTCATCCCATACTGGAGTCTCTAATAAGTTCTGAAAACGAGCCATTTTATTTCAAAAAATTTTTTTCAGAGGTAAGAGCAGCTTATGAACCGTTTTTTCCCTTATCATAAAATATCTTTGTAAGTTAGAGGCTCTAAAAGTGCTTTTAAATTCTAATTTTATGGCTTAGGAAATTGATTAAAAGCAAAAGATGAAGGATTTTCTCCAGAACTTTACTCTTAAACTTTACAGCACGGTTTTTTTAAATCTTAAATTTAAAAAATTTTGAGACATTCAATTTACTTGCATTTTTCATTTATAAGAAAATTTTTTTTTGATAAACAGCGTTATTACAGATATTACCATCAACTTTTGATATCCGAAGGTGCATTTACGGTTGCGTTACGAACCGAGTGTTAAGGTACAGTCAACTAACAGCTATGGTTTCTTCCACAAAATGGGATGTAAACGAACTTCAAACGCAACACAGCGCATACGTTGACTTCTTAATTGAAGTAACTATTCACTACGTTTGATATGCTTTTTTCAGAAAGTTCTTATTACTACTATTTCATATTTAAATCTGATTTATCTGTAGCTAACAGCTCATTTTAGGAGATGCGACATTTCAGCGGTGCACTCAGTGAACTTTGTGAATCAACTCCTTTGTCACGCGAAATCCTTCATGTCATATGGGACTGTGTGATATATAGAGCATTTCGAGCTGTTGTTCAGGGGTGACGATTTATTTCGGAGTTTTTTTGTCTATCACCTTATACTAATCTTTTCTTTTTTTTTTTTGTTTTTTAGTTATTGTGAGTCGGGAAAAAAGTGTTCAAGCGAAGGCCGCGCTTTAATGCAGTTGGATTTACAGCAAATGACGAGTAAAATTGAGCAGTTAACTGAATTACGGCCGGTTCCTCATAAGGCTTATGTTGAAAATTACATCAAAGCTTATTATCTTCCTGAAAGCTCGTTGGAACAATGGATTTTACAGCATAGTGTTTGTTTTAGTTTATCATCTATTATTAGTTTCAATTTCTTTTCGCTCATTGTAAATTGTACTTTTTAGTGTCTCAGTAGTTTTTTGTGTTTTATACCAATTGCTTTCTTTATTTCTTTTTTTTTTTAAAACAAGAGTATTTGGACGAACTGCTCTTTTTCTGGTCAATTACAAGATTAGTGCAGTAACGGGAAAATAGTTTTATATGTAAAAAATTATATTTTGCGTACTTGTCGTTGTACTGTGCAAAGCATTATAATTGTCGAACTTCGTTTTTTATCATTTAATTGTTTTTGACAAAGTTAAATATTTATTTTCAGGAATATTCTGCTCATCAAATGGTATCTCTTTTGAATGTAGCTTCACACGTTTCTAAGAGAGCTCGGACGAGGATAATCAGCTTAATTACGGAATAAACCCTTAATAATTAATTTTCGCTGTGATATCTGCTCATTACTGGCTTTTCACTTCAGTGCGTGTTGTTTCTGAATTTTCAAATAGAGTTTTGTTATTTCTGAGCTAGAAAGTTTCAGTCATCTAGGAATAATGTTTGTTGGTGTAAAATCTAAGCTTGGCAGCAGATTATTACTTCAGGTGGCTTTTTGCTAGAAGTTCAGTGGCGGTGCATTGTTTTTGTGAAGATAATTTTTTGCTAAATGCTATTGAATAAGGGGAAAATAAAATACTGGAGAAGTTTGGGTTTTTAGAACAGGTTAAAAGAAAAATTCTGTTGTTTTTTGAACCACTGAAGTCCTAATCGGGAAATGGCGGTAAATAGATTCTATTACCTTTCAAAATTCCTGGTTTTTAAGTTTTGCTTTTTTGTAAATCTGTTGATTCTTTTCTCACCACTTACTTTTTGTTCAAATTTTTTTCAAAACTTATTGTTGGAGTGATTTCTCAATTTATTTCTCAAACAGGTTTTTCTATTGAGATTTTACTTGCATATTCTACTTATTTTTTTGGTTTTAAGTTGGGATTTCTCTAAGGTTTAAGGACTTAAATCTAAGTATTTGTTTTTTTGTGGCTCATTTCTTTGAACCGTTTCTTTTTCCATTCTTCCTTTGCAGTGTGAACTTTTGAAATGTTTGTAAATACTGGAGGCTGTTTTAAAAGAGCTATACCACCGAGTG